GAAGAGGTTCAACGACTACATCATGACTGCAGTTACTAATGTTCAAGAACTGAATGAGCCTGAGTCATACAAGGAGGCAATACGAAGTGAAAAAGCTTCCTACTGGAAAGAAGCTATGGAAAGTGAAATGAAGTCGCACAAGGAAAACCAAACTTGGACCCTGGAGAAACTGCCTGCAGGAAAGAAATGTATAACATGCAAGTGGTTATACAAAGTAAAAACTAATCCTGACGGCTCAGTTGACAGGTTTAAAGCAAGGTTGGTGGTTAGAGGTTTCTCGCAGAAGAAAGGAGTGGACTTCAACCAGACTTTCAGCCCAGTAGCAAGACTCAGCACAATCAGATCCCTACTAAGTGTAGCAGCAGTGGAACATTTGATTTTGACACAATTTGATGTATCAACCGCATTCTTATACGGCCAAGTCGATGAAGTTATTTACATGACGCAGCCTGAAGGATACAAGGATGGTACAGATCGTGTGTGCAGGCTGAACAAGAGTCTCTACGGTTTGAAACAGGCGCCTCGCTGTTGGAGTACCAGATTCAACAAATTCATGGAACTTCAAGGATTCAAGAAAAGTGATGCTGATCCGTGTCTGTTCATGAAAGAAGATGGAAAAAGTAAACTGATTGTAGCGCTGTACGTAGATGACGGGCTTATAGCAACAAACAACACGGGAATGCTTCAGAACTTCATGGATCATCTGACGAAGGAATTCAAAATCACGTCCAAACCAGCATCTTTCTATTTAGGTCTAGAAATAGAACAGAAAAGTGACGGAAATGTTAGAATATCGCAGAAAGCGTATACAAAGAAAATTCTTGAACGTTTTCAGATGAGTGACTGTAAACCAGCTCCAACACCTATCGTGAAAGAGAATGAAACGCAACCAGCAGGGAAAGCAGAGAGCTCAAGAGACAAGTTTTCATACAGAGAAGCTGTTGGTGCTCTGATGTACCTGATGACTGCAACTAGGCCAGATATAGCCTATGCTGTGAGTAAAGCATCGCGTACTCTTGAAAACCCGTCTCACGAAGACTTCATAAGGGTGAAGAGGATACTGCGATATCTGAAAGGAACGATCGACTACGGAATAGAATACCAGACCAAAGAAAACAACCATGTTTTGGAGTGCTTCAGCGATGCTGACCATGCTGGAGACTCATCGACCGGACATTCTACAACGGGAGTAGTCTGCAATTTTGGAGGAGGAGTAATCGCCTGGCTTAGTCAGAAACAATCGAGTGCGGCAATCTCAAGCACTGAAGCCGAAATTGTGGCGGCCAGTGAAGCCTGTCGTGAAATCGTTTGGCTGAAAAGACTTTTGGAAGAGATAACTTCACTGAAGAGTGTGCCAGTTCTCAACATCGACAACGAAGCAACAACTCGGTTAGCTGAAAACCCAGAAAACCACAGAAGCAGTGCCGGATTTACCACTAGGCCGATTAGGCCCCGGCCTAGGGCCGCAAGCAAAAAGGGGCCGCAGAGGATTGAGAAAAACATTTTTTTCATAAAAAAAATTATTTAATTTAAACCACTAATTTGCCGCAATCACAGGTGACCATAATGATGTCTCCGCGGACCGAGGGAGATGATCACAATTTTGCCGTGGCCGCGGGTGACGGTGATGATGTCCCAGTGATTGCAGCCCGCGGGAAACGTTCACGGGCCGCGGGTGACGGTGATGTGTCCTCATGATCGCAGCCCACGGGAGACGTTCAAGAATTAGCCGCTGTCGCGAGTTGTCAATGATGATTTCCCCGTGATTGCGGCCCGCGGGAAACGTTCACGGGCCGCGGGTGACGGTGATGTGTCCTCATGATCGCAGCCTACGGGAGACGTTCAAGAATTAGCCGCTGTCGCGAGTTGTCAATGATGATTTCCCCGTGATTGCGGCCCGCGGGAGACTTTCACGATTTAGCCGTGGCCGAGGGTGACGGTAATGTGTCCTCATGATCGAAGACCGCGGGAGACGTTCAAGAATTAGCCGCTGTCACGAGTGTCGATTCTTTTAACTTTATTTAACATTTTCTGTAGAATATTTAATATTTTATATAACATATGTAACAAAACATGTTGACCTTGTCTATTGTAATGTTTATATTACTAAACGACAATAAAGATTTATTATTATTATTTATTGTAAAAGTTAGGGCCACATGGACCTTTCTTACACTTAACCTATCATAAATATAACACATATATTTTAACAATTACATCAATATACAACAAAACAAAATTTAAATCATGGATACAGAAACTTTAAACGTTGATGATGATGTCCCCGTGATTGCGGCTCACGGGAGATGTTAACGATTTCGCCGCGGCTAAAGGTGTCAATCCCGAGTGGGATGTTTACGTTTTGGCACGGCCGCGGGTAACAATGATGATGTCCTCATGATCTCAGTTTTCAAGAGATGTTTTCAATACGACTTTGCCGCATTCGTAAGTGTCGATGATGATGTCCCCGTGACTGCTGCTTCGCGGGTGGTGTTTACGATTTTGCCATGGTCGCGAGTGTCGATGATGATGTCCCCGTGATTGCGGACCGCGGGAGATGTTCACGATTTTACTGCGGTTGCGGGTGACGGTAATGATGTCCTCAAGGTCAAAGCTCACAGAATATGATGACGATTTCGCCGCGGTTGCGAGTGCTGAGGATGATGTCCCTTTGTTGCAGCCCACGGGGGATGTTTACGATTTTGCCGCGGTCACGGATACCTATGATGGCTTTGACTTGGTTTAAGAAAGATGTCTACGATTTCATCCACGATCACGGGTGTTGATGATGATATCTCCTTGATGCATAGGAGATATTCACTATTACTTCCGCGATCGCAAGGAATTTCCACCACAGAGGGAGGGCCGCTCAAGTAATTTGGCCTAGGGCCGCAAGTACCCTAAATCCGGCACTGCACAGAAGAACAAAGCATATCAAAATTAGACATTTCTTCATCAGGGAGCTTGTAGCGGAAGGACAAGTCAAGGTTAACCATGTACCAGCTGAGTTCCAACTGGCAGATTGTATGACAAAACCTCTTCATAAGCCAAGACTTAAGACTTTGTGGCAAGCTATGGGACTTAAGTAATGACTTAAAAAAAAATTCTTTAAATGAGGGAAAGTGTTAAGATATGTGATTAACTTATCTATCATTTAAAGAATTTTCCTCTATGTTTTTTTTCTTTCTCTCAGCTGTGCTATTATTAATTATGCAGTTTTTTATAATATGAGTTTGTAGATAAAAACATAACAAAAATGTCTAAACCCAATTATTCTTTCCTCATCTTTAATTTCAACACTCGCTCCATATGAAATGCAGGGATATAATGCACTACTGTCTGAAAGACTTGCAAGGGGCACGATTATCTCAATTCGATATCTGACGAAAAAGATGGTACCGAATGTCACCATTTGTGGCAAGACCAATAAGAGCAAAGAATGAATCCTTATTCTTAAGATTCCAATGATGAGAAGTAGAAAAGTTATATGGTAAAATCTACAAAAAATCCCAATCGTTTTTTTAATAGGCTAAATACATAGTAAAACTGTGTACATCCGTCTCATTACCATCTTTCGTTTATTAAGCTAAAAAATAACATTTTCGCTATATTTAATAAAATCTTCCTTGTTGTAATATCTTATTATATATATTAGAATCGCTTAACATCATTCGGGAGTGTCCAGAGATGGGATCGTATAAATGGGAGCTTAGGACGAATCCTAGAATTTTTGTAACCCCTTCAACAATATTAGATTTAAAACTGCATAGGGGGTCTTGCTACCCTTCCCTTCACACATTCTTGGATAAACCTCTGAATGATAACAATGAAATAAACCACTATCTAGTCATTCATAATCATAATTCTACGCCGAATTTTGTGTTGTCCAAACTAACTACAGGCGCATTTTTGTATAGCATGCGTCGTTTAGGAGTTGTAAGTCGAAAACTGGTCAAATAATCAACCTTTTGGCCATTTTGATGAAAATATCCCAACTTTGAAAAGCTACAGCGGCTAAACGGCTCGGCCGATTTTGACTTATTTAACATCAATCGACGCGGAATTTAATGCACTAAAAGACACCTTTGAACAACATTTTCCTTAGGATTCATTATTTAGGAGTTATAACCGAAAAACTGAAAAAATTGCAAAATTTTCATAGTTTTTCGACTCCCAAAACTTAAGCAGACGTCAGAATCCGTCGCAAACTCACAGGAGTCTTATTTGGGACCCCCAAAAGGTATTAAAACACTTTCCAGCTTTAGACGATTTTTTGGGGAGCATATGTCTAATTTGCCTGGGCTAATAGTCTTATCTCAAAAATCTTTTCGGGCTCCGCCCCACTGGCTCTGTAGCTCCCCATGTTAACCTTATGAGTATTCGTATTTAATGGGAATTAAAGAATTTAGTCAGCTGTGTTTCAATTAAAAAAGTTGGTTCTATGATATGCAAAAGCATTAAAAAGTTATACAAATTACCAACAGGGTGCAGCACTATTATATTTTTTTTGCATTTATGAAAACAGCTAATTTGAACTAAGCAGCGACAAAAAACTGTGATACGCAATGAGAAATGTCAAAGTAGGATTGTTTACAGGCATGTTTATGTTTTTAATTTTATGAATGATTTGAGATATTTTGCGGATTTTTAATAATTTATTTTTCTCTATTGTTTAGAAGTGGTAGAAAATTATGGCTATGGTAGATGTGTAATACTATAGTATAACGTAAATTTAAAGAAGCAAATTTTATCAAACTGTGTCCTCCCCCATTGCAAACGCAAAACTTGAGTATAACTGCAATAAGCATTTTATACTTTATGCCAACCCCGTACGAAGGACGGGTTCTCTGCTAGTATCACATGTTTGCTTCACCTTATCCACTTTTTTAGTTTCACAAAAAAGCTTAAGCAAAGTGAAGTTTTGAATTTCAAATACAGAAATACAGTACATTGTACATTACTGATTGTTTTTGCCTTCATCAATAATGAGAGTAACATACTCTGATGACGTCACTGCTGCTCACAGCCATGGTAGTCAGTTTGGCCTGGTCCTTGACTTGGTTGCTGTTGACAGTTTGTCTAAGTCTGTCAAACTGAGCGAGAAAGTCACTTTGTTCTTCCTTCAGTTCCCTTAGCTTTACCGATTGTGAACACTGCATGGAAACTAGTTGCTGTTTCAAATCCACAATAAAGTCCTGTAACGTATGATTTTATCGTAAATATTTACTTGTTAATAATTATTAAAAGTGTAAAAGTTTGTGAATCTAACCTGGTAATGGGTGAAACAAATTATTTGGGATGGTTTTAAAACTAATTTATAAAAAAATTTTTTGCTTATTACATTATTATTATTTTTTGCTTTTATGGAATTGTAATTGATGTAGAAAGAAGACTTTGTGGTAGTACATGATTAACTCTAAGTTAAAAAAGATTTACAGGTACTCGGTGATTGATATATAAGTGTGCCAGCTATTTTATTTGAAAGTTATAAATGATTTACAAAACTTTAATTTGTAACTGCCTTGGATTCTTTACCTACTTAAAAAGTTTTGGTCATGGTCAAGTTGAAAAAATAATTGTGGCCAGTACAAGACAGTAGAATAAAATTTAGTTCTCTAATGGTGAACAAAAGAGGCTTGTAGTTGCAGCTATAGATGGTGTGGCTGTACCTAACCATCTGTCAGTATTCAATTGATTTGAACTTAAAACACATGTTAGCAATTATTGTTAACTAATATTTACTTTTCTTGTTTACCTTTTTCTTTCTTTTGATCTTGTACCTTTTGTCCAGACAATAAATCCTCTAAAATACTAATTATATTATTTTATTAATCATTGTACATCACCATTAACCACACTGGTGACCAACGACGTGATAATTGAAGCAACATAAAAGTAAATCCTTCAAGACAGGACAGCATCTCCAAGAAACCTCAACTTTCGTCAGTCAGAACAAAACCAGGTTAGTTTAGACCTAAAAATGTCAGACACTGAAGAAAATGTCACTGATCCCAATTTACCAACCAATTCAAATAATCTCTCGAAATTAACAGTCAAAATTCCGCCCTTTTGGAGGAAAAATGTCAAGGTCTGGTTACGTCAAGTTGAGGCACAATTCATTGTAAAAAATATCACTCAAGAACGAACAAAATATTACCTCATTCTTGGAAATCTTGATACTGATGTTGCCGAATTGCTTTCAGATCTTTTAGAGAAACCACTTAGCCAAACACCTTATCAAGACATTTGTAATTGCCTGATCTCTGAATTCGAAGAATCAGAGAGCAGAAAATTCACTAAACTGGTTGACGAACTAGAAATTGGTTCGAAAAAACCTTCTCAGTTTCTTAGGGAAATGCGTACTCTTGCAGGTTCCCAAGTTAAAGACGATTTCCTAAAAACATTATTTTTTAAACGTCTTCCCCCTCAGATCAGCTCAATATTAGCATCTAGCTCCGACTCTCTAGACAATCTAGCAACCATGGCTGATAAAATCATGGAGTACTCTCCCACTCATTCTCAGCACATGTATTCCTTGAAAGGTGAAACATCAACAAGTTCACAACCTGATAGATTATCTCGCCTAGAAAACCAAATCACCAAACTAACCATCCAAATTTCATCTTTACGCTCCCGTTCGAAATCTGGTTCTCGACTTTACCAATATCAGAACCGTGACGCAACTCCTCAACGTAATAAATCTGTCTGCTGGTACCATAGAAACTTCGGTAAAAACGCTACAAGATGCACAACTCCATGCAACTACCATTCTTCCCCGTCCAAAAATTCGGAAAACTAACTCAGCACTATCTTGATTCGGCGGGAGATAGCGCAAAACATCAACCTCGCCGTCTTTTTGTTTACGATCGGCTGACTAATACAAAATTTCTTGTTGATTCAGGTGCTGACATTTCTGTGTTACCTGCACATAGCAAACAAAAGCCAAAACCATCTGCCAAATTACTTTATGCAGCTAATGGTTCAAATATCCCCACGTTTGGCGAGAAACTTTTACAACTTGACCTAGGTCTCTGCAGATCATTTTGTTGGCCTTTCACTATTGCAGACGTCCAACAACCAATAATTGGTGCAGACTTCCTAGCAGAATTCGGCCTTTTAATTGACATCAAAAATAAAAAGTTAATAGACAACAAAACGAACCTCTTTCAATGTGGCTCAACACCATCACCGTCAGTATCTTCTGAGATTTATCTGATTGGCCGAAATAGTAAATACTCACACCTATTACATGAATTTCCTGAATTACTGAAAGACATACCTGGACATAAAACACCAGACATTGAATTCTTCCATACAATCAGTACCAATGGACCACCTGTTACCTCTAAAGCCAGACGGTTAGCTCCTGACAAACTCTCTCAGGCTAAATTAGAGTTTCAGAAAATGATTGATTTAGGTATCTGTAGACCTTCTAAGAGTTCTTGGTCAAGTCCGTTGCACATGGTACCAAAGAAGGACGGCACCTGGAGACCATGCGGTGACTACCGAGCTCTTAACTACATTACCGTTCCGGATAAGTATCCGATACCTAATGTACAAGACTTCAACTCACAGCTTGAAGGCAAGACAATATTTTCTAAAATAGATCTTGTCAAAGCCTACCACCACATTCCTGTTCATCCAGATGACGTACCTAAAACAGCTGTTATTACTCCTTTTGGTTTGTTTGAGTTTTTACGCATGCCATTTGGATTAAAGAACGCAGGTCAAACCTTCCAACGCTTCATTCACCATGTTTTACGAGACCTTACGTTTGCATATTCGTATCTGGATGACATCTTAATTGCTTCTGAGTCTGAACAGGAACACGAGCAACATGTTCGCCTTCTTTTTGAATGTCTATCCAAACACGGCCTCTGCATTAACGCATCAAAATGTGAGTTTTCTGTCTCAGAGATTTCATTCCTTGGCTATCGAATCAACAAAAGTGGAATATTTCCATTACCTGAACGTGTTCAAACGATACTAAACTATCCTCTTCCTGACACAGTTGATCAACTGAGACGATTTTTAGGAATCGTTAACTTCTATAGGAGATCACTACCAAACTCAGCAACAACACAAAAGACCCTGTACGACCTTTGTTCATCACCCAAACGAAAGGACAAAAGCAAAATACAATGGAACGATAGCGCCAAAGAGTCTTTCAACAGGTTGAAAACAGAACTGGCTAATGCTACTCTGATTTACCATCCTTCCAGCAATCTTCCCATCATCCTCTCAGTTGACGCTTCAAATTTCGCGATCGGGGCTTCTGTCCAGCAAATGAGAGGAAATACTCCAGAACCAATAGGTTTTTTTCTAAAATCCTCACTAAAACTCAACAGAACTATAGCACTTATGACCGTGAACTTCTGGCCGCATATGAAGCAGCCAAGTACTTCAAACATTACCTAGAAGGCCGTCACTTTACTATTCTGACGGATCACAAGCCTCTCAGCTACGCATTTGAACAGCGCCCTGAAAAGGCGACCCCTAGGCAGCAAAGACATCTTGACTACATTAGTCAATTCACTACTGATATCCGTTACATTCCCGGAAAACAAAATTTTTCTGCAGATGCATGCTCTAGGATTACAGAAATTGAACTGTCATCAACTGTATCACTTACAGACATCGCTCATGCTCAAGAAGTATGTAATGAACTCAAACACATCCAACAATCCAACTTATCATCATTTACATTCAAAACTATGATTCTTGATAATGGACTTCAATTGATTTGCGATTCTTCGACTGGAACTCTACGACCTTTCATCCCTCATGCCTACCGAAGACCTCTCTATGACTCCATTCATAATCTATCTCACCCTGGAATTGCCGCATCAGTCAAACTACTTCAAGAGAGATTCTGCTGGCCTTTGCTGAAACGTGATGTTTCATTGTGGGCCAAAACTTGTATTCCTTGCCAACGCTGTAAAACATGGCGGCACACTTCTAGTGAACTCGGTGCCTACCCTACTGCCGAAAAACGATTCTCTCATTTGAATGTTGATATTGTTGGACCCTTACCTCCTTCAAGAGGATATCAGTACCTGTTAACCATCATCGATAGGTTTTCAAGATGGACTGAAGCGATACCAATCTCATGCATCACCGCAGAAGAAGTTTCTTCCACTATTTTGCACTCATGGATATCTCGCTTCGGTGTTCCTCGTTTTATTACCACTGATAGGGGAAGGCAGTTTGATTGTGAATTGTTTTCATCATTGACAGCCATGCTTGGCATAAATCACATAAAAACTACAGCTTACCATCCTGCTGCAAATGGAGCTATTGAAAGGTGGCATCGCTCCTTAAAATCGGCTCTCAAAGCACAACTAACAGCAGACTGGGTTTCCAAACTTCCATCAGTTCTGCTTGGACTTCATTCAAACATAATACCAGAAATAGGAGTTTCACCTGCACAGCTCGTCTACGGAGAACCAATCACCCTCCCTGTTGATTTCTTTGAAGACTCCAAGCTGCCGAATGACATCCCTAAACTACTTGCTCGACTTCAAGACCATGTCAAATCAATTCGTCCTGTACCATTTCGCCATCATCACAAACGATCTATTTTCATCCATCCTGATCTCATGACCTCTTCTCATGTCTTTATTCGCAATGACGCAATAAGAAAGCCTCTTCAACCAACATACGAAGGGCCTTTCAAAGTTGTTTCAAGAGGTGACAAGTATTTTAACATATTATTGCCACGGGGTGAAGATACCGTTTCTATTGATCGGCTGAAACCAGCATTTATTCTTCAAAATCATCTTCAACCTACACAGTCTCAGATGGATAAAATAATGGAGTCAGATACCCTAACCATCTGTCAGTATTCAATTGATTTGAACTTAAAACACATGTTAGCAATTATTGTTAACTAATATTTACTTTTCTTGTTTACCTTTTTCTTTCTTTTGATCTTGTACCTTTTGTCCAGACAATAAATCCTCTAAAATACTAATTATATTATTTTATTAATCATTGTACATCACCATTAACCACACTGGTGACCAACGACGTGATAATTGAAGCAACATAAAAGTAAATCCTTCAAGACAGGACAGCATCTCCAAGAAACCTCAACTTTCGTCAGTCAGAACAAAACCAGGTTAGTTTAGACCTAAAAATGTCAGACACTGAAGAAAATGTCACTGATCCCAATTTACCAACCAATTCAAATAATCTCTCGAAATTAACAGTCAAAATTCCGCCCTTTTGGAGGAAAAATGTCAAGGTCTGGTTACGTCAAGTTGAGGCACAATTCATTGTAAAAAATATCACTCAAGAACGAACAAAATATTACCTCATTCTTCTGTGTCTGCCACAATGGCATTATGAAAGTTTTATACATAAATCTAATGTATACAACTAAGTTAAAAAAGTTTAAAAATGGGTTGTGGGTTTACCGAGTATTTATTGACTGTCTCACAGTGCCGGATGAGTTGATCAGTGTTGGATTTGTCTTTAGCTCTGAGAGCGTTGTAGTGAGGCCGGTTAGGTGCTGTGTCTGTGATGTAGTCTTTCAACACTTGTTGAATATCTCTCCACACAGCTTCTATCTGCAGACCTCCTTGCTCCTCTGTCTTCTCTATCTCACTTTGCATCTGGACAAAAACAATTTTTTAGATTTCATAGTTTAATTACTATATGAATTTGGGAGCCCAATGCAGAATTGTTGTTCAGGATATTTAGGCTGTTATAATAATATACCGGGTGTCCCACGAAGAGGTCCCTATTTTTTAATTGATATGACAGACGAATAGAGCGCGCCACAGACTTGAAATTCTACAGTCGTGACTAACACATAAGTAAAGGTGTTGCCCCCGGGTCTCAATTATTTCTGACTTATCCAAAATTGTGGAAAAACCAAAAAAACAACAAAATCAGCAATCATATTTTAAGGCTTAACCTACTTCTTTAGGGTAAAGGTACTATTTCTTTGATATCCCGCCATTTTGTCATAATGTGTCAGAATTAACTGATACTCAAGGGTATTTCTTTTACATATGTGTATGTTAGTACTGTTGAGTTTCAGGTTTGTAGAGTGTTCGGTGCGTCTAATATATTGATTAAAAAATAGGGACCTCTTCAAGGGGACACCCGGTACACTGTAATGAAAAGTAAACAATTTTGTTTTAAAAACATAGTATTCCGCTGTCTATTGTGTTCTAGAACCTAAAGGCGGTATTTTAATAAATGATTACCTGGTTTCGGAGCTCATCTTGTTTTGCAGCCGCAGCAGAAGTGCTTGCTCTATGCTGCAGACTGTTGCGGCTGTTCATGTCAAAGATAACAGTCTGCAGGAATTCACAGGCAAACTCATTGTCAGTAGTAGTCGTTGCTCTCTCCTTGCAAGCCGAGTCCAGCAAGGCAGCCTTCTCATGAGAATAGTGCTTGTGCAGTGTGTTTAGACGATCCTGATGCAACCCTGACGATTGAAATTACCAAATTGGACAGTAATTGTTTAAGTAAGCCGAAAGAGTTGGTTCTATATATGTGGTGTTGAAAGCGAAAAGGGACCTCTTGTCGGCGATGCAAAATTTTCAGTACGGCCGATATAAGTAATTATAAGGTCAAAAACATTGAAATTAGTTTTTTTTTCAATTGTTATACCTCATTTAACATAGAACAGGACAGTATCGGTTAAAATATTGAATTTAAGATGTAAAAGGTCGAAATAAATCATTTTTTTAGCCTCTGCACGGTCTGATGAAAGGGACCTCTTGTCGCTCAATGTTATTTCGCCATAACGACAAGAGGTCCCATTTCTTATATTCACTTTATAAACAGAATTTAGTAAAAAAATGGGGTAGAGGACTTTTATCCCCCCAGGAATTTTACCCCCTGGGCAAAACTGACGTCACAAACCAGGGGGTAAAATTCCGGCTGCGAACTTTCGAGTTGCACAACATCAGTTCGATGGATTAAAGGTGGAATTAAAGGCATACTTTCACAGCTGTGAATTTAATCAGAACACATCAAATTATAAAAACCGAGAGTGTATGGGCCGTAATTTTATTTTACCCCCCGACTTTTATCCCCTTCATGAGGTCAGCTCAAAATGTACGGCCCGGATTTTTACCCCCAGAATTTTACTCCCTGGCAAGATATAGAAATAAGTGAGAATGATTCATTTTCTTCTTTCAGTTTTAATTTAATAGTAATCATTGTACAGGGTGAGGCAATGAGAACGCTACAATTTGTTATACCTGTCACATGTTAGTTGTTGCAACAATGAATGATCAGCTGTGCCTAAAATATCAATTAAACTATGCCATTTTAGTAAATATTATGCCTGAGGCTATTAACACTGAGATTTTGATGTGGAAACCTATTTATACAATAGTGGTTCTTGTGCAAACACACAGAGATTGTTTGGACCGTATTCCATCCTTGGTCAACATGGCGCTGTTCCAGATTGGAAAACAATGTTGAACTGGAAAAAATTATTTAGGATAATTGCTTAAACCAAAAAAATAATAATTGGTGGGTGCCGCAAAACTCTTTGTACACCAGCAAATGTTAAAAGAATATGAGTCCCAGTAACTCAAAGTCCGAAGAGATTTGCCATGAAGCTTTTATTGTTTAAAGCTTTACGTTGGCTAATTTTTTTGGGAGGCGGGGGGGTTGTTCTAATAAGCTTCTTGACGTTCTAGGTTTTTCAAAGTCACCCCACAGATTTGCTTGAACCGAAGCTAAGGATAGTCCAAAAACTAAAGTGATTCCTGAAGAAATGCTGGAGGAGTATTTGATGGAGTTTCAAGTGGCTAAAAAGGAATGTCAAGTAGGACAATGAAGTCACTTGTAGGATTTTGTTCTCAAGAAATAAAAAAAATGACTTTGTTAAGTTAAAATGGCAAAAGAAAAGCTGTGTTTTGGTGTGCTATTTATATCCATAGGGTGAATATTATTGAGTTTGTACTGTTTATAAATTGGGGCGCTGTCATTGCCCCACCCTGTATTATTAAGTAGCCTATCTTAATTTATCAGTGACCTTAACTAATCAAACAGGTTTTTAATTTTGATTTTAAAATTCGAGTTGCAGGATTCGATTTTTGGGGCAACTGTTGGTTGATATGTATATACAAACATATGGGTTTCCTTGCAGTAGTCAACACAATCACAACCATTGGTCGGATACTTTGTACCGGATGCCTACAACTACATTTACAACAGGTATTTTGATGACCTTTCTCAGTAAAAACCATAAATATACCTCATGGTTTGTGCCTGAAGAAACAAAAAGGCATGTGTTATTGTACAACAGAAACAAAATACATTGTTTTTCCTACAGTCACCTAACAATGTAATGTACATGTTCTCTCACTGATTTGAGAAAGCAAAGTGGCCAATTCACTCATCAGTGAGACAATGTTAACATTGTCTCACTCTAATTACTTTGTCTCACTCCAGATTTGCAACGTGAAGGGACAAAATAGTGAGCGCGTAACATGCAGACAAGGTCGTATGTGCGCGAAATACGTTGGCAGCACTGGCTGTAAATCAGCTGGTCAGCTGTTGTACTGTTGTATTTGTCACTTCACATTAAATGTCATATTAAAAGATCACTTCTGTGTAAAAATATGTTACGTTTCTTTGCCAATTTATTTGTTTTATGGTAACTGTAGGAAAAATATAATGTGCAACTCGAGTGCAAAGTGCAATTGCCTCACTCGAGAAACCATTCCTCACTCGCCTACGGCTCGTGAGTAAGGATTTCTCTCGAGTGAGTCAATTGCTCACTTTGCTCACTAGTTGCACAAATAACTATTTCCCACGGTGATATAATACATCGTTTAAGAAGAGTTCACCCAATTATCATTTAAATGAGATACTCAGTTTATTATACATACATATTAACACAACAGTTGGCCCCAAACCCAAATCCCGAATATCAAAACTAAACAGAGAAACCTGTTTACTTAGTCGAGATTACATTTAGTTACATGCAAAACAGAGATTACAACAGAGATATGCATACAGAGATAAATGCTTAGTTGAGATTACAAATAAATTCAGATAAGGCTACTTAAAAATAAAATGTTTACTATTAAATTATAACTGAAAGAAGAAAATTAATCATTCTCAATAATATCTCGCAATATAATTTGCTCGCCTTACATTTAAATTAATCTCTGACATCAAACACCGCCATAATAGCTATCAAAATACATTTTTCTTCATAGATTAATATTTTTATTATTGCTTAAGGCTGTTTATTGTTAACTAATTCTAGTATACAATATATTTATATAGCATATATATATATATATATATATATAGCATATGTGGTAAAAACTGTTTATAAATAATGTGTACATCTATACTTAAATACGTATCAGGAGCTCTTAATAAATATATATATATATGCTATATAAATATATATATATATATATATGCTATATATATACGTATCCTGATACGTATTTAAGTATAGATGTACACATTATTTATAAACAGTTTTTACCACAGTTTTATAGCACATGTTTTTTACCTATGGACAATAACCAAAACATATTTCCTGCTGGTAAGAGCTCTTCCCTCGAGCACGGACTTGCAGTCCATTCGGGGAATAGTATTCTTACCACTAATAATGTATTTATAAAGCTGAACAAAGTGATTTTTGATTTGATATCTTTATCTGGCCAGTGGTAAAATTCTGGTGGGTAAAAATCTGGGGGTAAAATTCCAGGGGTTAAAATCCACTAACATCTACAGTTGCCTAAACGATAGTTATTTGGACAGGGGGTAAGATTCCGGTTTTTATTGCTAATCTAATTTATCACGCTCAGTCTATTTTCATTAGACTTCCAAATCAAGTAATAAGGAATTTAATAACCCTCCGAGTGTTAAGCATCACGTAATCGACGCACAAAACACCCGCCGTGGTGTTATGTGTCGCTTAAGCGACACACAAACATCTTTTACGGCGAAGGTTCTGGGACTGACTGAATCAGATTGAACTGGATCGAGATTGGTATCATTGTTTTCGGCAGATTCTAAGCTTTCTCCTGATGTCTGTTTCTAGACGCTTTTCATTTTTGTTCCAAAAATATTGTAGCAGACAGATGACGTGCGTATTTGTAAACAACTTGGTTAACCTCGCACTGATGACTGATATGTTTTATTACGTTTATCATTGTTTTAGTGTTAAAAATAAAAAGTTGTGATAAACGTGGTGCATTATAAGAAGATTTAAGTGATTTTGAAGGGCTGGTTGATGATCCTGAAGAAGTAGGTAGTGATATTGATGTAAATTATCAGCCAGATTCCTAGCCATGGTTAGGCTATGTATTCTTAGCTAACGCTAAATGTACGAAATCTGTTTTTCACCCATAACTTATTTATTTGCAAACCTACTTCCTTATATTATTATATTTTTGGAATCCTCATAAAATTTAGAACAAAGTGGCTATTTCGAAATATTTGTAAACCTAAAATTATTATTAATTTATTGAGCGCAAACATAATTTTTTTCATTTATTTTATAATTTTTGATAAACCCCACAAAAATTGTTGAAAATTATTGTTGTAATGTTTTATATATTACATTGAAGCCCATAATTTTCCAAACAAAATGATATATAAAACAGTATACTTTAGAGTGTTTTTAAATTTCTAAGGTCTTTAATAAAACCCTGCGATTGCGCAATAAATGGGCTGACATTAATACCATTACTATGGACACTTGGAGGGATAAGGAATTCAAATATATATATATATATATATATATATATATACTATTATAAAAAAGAGGTGGTGTCTGTGTGTATGGGAAAAGTAAACGCGAAAACTACTGGTCGGATCGGGCTGAAATTCGGCATGATGATAGCTCATATTCCCGATTAACATATAGGCATATTTTTATCCCAAAAATCCTTCCGGGCTCCACCCCAGTGGCTCTGGAGCAAAGGTTCCCATGTTAACCTTATGAGAAATGGAATTAATGAATCTTAACAGCTGTTTCAATTAAACAAGTTGGTTCTGTTCTATGATTTTCAATAGCATTAAAGTTACAAGGATTACCAACAGGGTGCAGCACTAGCATTATTTCTTTTACATTTATGACAACAGCTAATTTGCAACCAAAAGGTGAGTGAGCGTAGCGAACGAGCTAACCTGAAGGCAAGTGAGCGTGGCGAACGAGCTAACCTGAAGGAAAGTGAGCGCAGCGAACGAGCTCCAACCTAAAGGTGAGTGAGCGTAGCGAACGAACTTCAAAAAGAACCGAAATTTCTTAAACCATGTCCTCACTCATAACTGCTATAAGCATTTGATACTTATATGCCAACCCCGTACGAAGGACGGGTACTCTGCTAGTAGAAAAACTCAAAATCGAAAATTCCTGACAAGAGGTCCCTAATCCATTTCCACATCACATATATAAGTTGTATTCTACAAATCAAGCAGTTGCTACAATGAGATCCTTCTTACCGATTAGTCTGTTAACAATCTGTACATGATTTTCCAACATCATCGAGTACTGTATTTCAGATTCTTCAAGATCTGAGAGCAGTGTCTCAATGATTTTGTTCTTGCTTATGACAGCTTCTTCAAATGTAGTCCAGAGGATCTAAAATTAAAAAAGGATATAATTTATAAATATAACTAAAATACTATTCAACAGTATTGTTTAAATTAATTTAATATATTTGAAATATAATGTACTTACACTATTTAAGGGGGTGTCATACTAAAAAAAATATTCTTATGAGTGAAAATTTAAAAACGTACGTTTTCATGTCCCTGGCCTTTTACTTCGTAGATACTTGATTTGTAGTTTATTATTATGTGTTTTAATATTTTTTGGGACGGGGGCAACACGTTACACACATTTATTTGGTTTTAAATAGGTTCTAGGTATTTTTTTCGTATTTTTAAAGTCTCAAAATTCACGACCATGACGTGTCCCTAGGGTACATTTTCCAACTTTCACGCTGTTTTTAGACTAATTATTCATGCCGAAATATATAAAGCCATATTTTTATGTCATCAATGGTTATTAAACTTACAAAAAAGGAGCATATTATAATTTTATTGTCATTGCAAACTGACTACCATGACAAAATAAGTCTGTCCCTCGATTTGGCGTCACGACCATTTGGGAAAAATTTTCAACTTTGGAGCCCGACAGTGGCAAGCCTGGCGTCGATGGAGTCAGTTGGTTTGAGAGACTAGTTCGGGGTGTACGTCAGGATTGTAGTGCCGGTCGTTTCGAGTTGAAAGGAGGAATTACAAGATTAATAAAGGAAAGATTGTGTTTTTTGTAATTTTGGTGTGTCCATGACCGTACGTAGTCATTCGATGAAGTAGACATGGTGTTAATTTTTGTTTATAAGATATTTCAATTGCTAGATTAACCTAGAAGTCCACTTTGTATCCTCGAACATGAGGTGCAGGGCTACCGCCAGAACAGAGCCAAATAACACGTAATTTCACGACCAAAGTTTCACGACCATCGCGGGTTTTTTCACGACCAATCCAGCCTTATGGATTATAGTGTGTTTGGTCGTGACAATAACTTTAATATAATTGTGAATTGAACAGTTTAGTTCAATTGAAACACATATTTTTATTATAACTAACAGTATAATTGAAGGATTGCCTAGAAAGATTTAAATTATCCCAGACAATTCACGACCGTACCGCTTGTCCCTGACCATCACGTTTATGATTTCTATCATAACAATTTCAAAAATTAAAATATCGTCATATTTCAATGTTTTATACACAAAAGAAGCACACCTCTATACAAACATAACGATTTTTCGGGTCTCAGGTAAGTTCTTTCGTAGTTATACAAACTTAAAAAGATTTTATTGGCTTTATTTCAATTTTTTGAGTTTTTTTTATTTTTTTCTGGAAAGACCAAATATACTAAAAGTTTAGTGACCTTTTTATTGTATAATGGTCATAAAAGTAAATTAGTTTATAGCAAAACATAGTTATAAAAATAATATTAACCATTTTTAATATTCATTTAAACGTCCGTTATGGTCGTGACAGGATTTTGTGTTTTTCCACTAAAGATGCTCTTTTAAAAAGAAACTACCAAAGATATTGCGTTACCATGGACATTTTATGAAACTTCAAATGTTAATGAAATAAAAATAATAATAAAAGTTTTGAAAAAAGGGGAAAAAAATTTGCAAATTGCTTTTTCTGAAAACGTACGTTTTTAAATTTTCACTCTTATACATTTTTTTTATTTTGGTTTCAAATTAAAGTTTAGTACCTGGGGACCTATCTCAATTCGATATCTGACAAAAAAGATGGTACCGAATGTCACCATTTGTGGCAAGACCAATAAGAGCAAAGAATGAATCCTTATTCTTAAGATTCCAACGATGAGAAGTAGAAAAGTTATATGGTAAAATCTACGAAAAATCCCAATCGTTTTTTTAATAGGCTAAATACATAGTAAAACTGTGTACATCCGTCTCATTACCATCTTTCGTTTATTAAGCTAAAAAATAACATTTTCGCTATATTTAATAAAATCTTCCTCGTTGTAATATCTTATTATATATATTAGAATCGCTTAACATCATTCGGGAGTGTCCAGAGATGGGATCGTATAAATGGGAGCTTAGGACGAATCCTAGAATTTTTTTAACCCCTTCAACAATATTAGATTTAAAACTGCATAGGGGGTCTTGCTACCCTTCCCTTCACACATTCTTGGATAAACCTCTGGATGATAACAATGAAATAAACCACTATCTAGTCATTCATAATCATAATTCTACGCTGAATTTTGTGTTGTCCAAACTAACTACAGGTGCATTTTTGTACTCTGAAAGCAGTCTTAGTATTGCAGATACACTAATCCATTCCCAAATTCCACACTGCTCGCCTTTACTACTTCCTTCACCATTTCCTACATCATGGACCTGTTTCCTTCCCTTCTCATAGCATTTAAGTATTACAGATGTATTAATCTAACTGCCACAAACGGTTCCCCCACTCTGCAATGCCAGCCTTTACTACTTCTACTTCTCACTACTTTCTATGTCGTGGGCCTGTTTCCTTCCCTTCTCAATAGCATTTTAGAATTAAAGATACATTATTCTAACTGCCACAGACATTTCCCACACATTCTGCGATGCTAAACTTTACTACTTCCTACGCCACTTCCTACGTTGTGGACCTGTTTTAATCTCTTTCCATAGCATTCTAGTATTTTAGATACATTAATCTAATTACACACTGCTTGCATTTACAATTTCCTTCACCCCTTCCTACGTCTCGGACCTGTTTTCCTCCCTTCCCATAACATTTTAGGATTGCAGATACCTTAATTTAATCGTCAAAACAGTTCCCACACTCCTGACTGTTTAATTACCTTTACTACTTCCTTCACCACTTCCTACGTCGTGGACCTGTTTCCCCCCTTCCGACGGTATTTTAAGATCGCAAATGCCTTAATCTAATCGTCATAAACAGTTCCCACACTCCTGACTGTTTAATTACCTTCACTACTTCCTTCACCACTCCCTACGTCACGGACCTGTTTCCCTCCCTTCCCATAGGATTTTATGATTGCAAATACCTTAACCTAATGTTCATAAAATAGATCCCACACTCCGGACAGCTCGCCTTCACTACTTTCTTCACCACTTCCTATGTCGTGGACATGTTTCCTTCCCATCCCATATCATTTTATGATTGCAGATACCTTACTCTAATCGTTATAAACAGATCCTACACTCCCCCCTGCTAGCCTTTACTACAATGTATCGAGTAATCTTCTGTAAAATCTTTGCTCAATAGCAACAAGACATGTTTTTCCATTTGTACTGTATTTTGTATTTTGCTAGTATACTGTGGGTTTATTATGGGGCTTATTATGAACACATGTTAGAACTTACAAGTCTTCCTTTTACTTTTTCCTTGTTATTTAATTAACCAACATGGTTACTTAGCAACCCATAAGACTAATCTATATATACGCAAGCAGGTTTCTTTTCACAGTCATAACTCGATAACGGTTTGACGGATTTTAACGTTTGAGGTGTCAAATTAAAGGTATTTTCATGTAGATGTGCAAATACGTCTCAGAATATTAAGAAAGGGCACCACTTAAGTACACTTAAGGGCTAAAGTTTGGAAGGCGGCGCTATCTGTTGACATTAGATCAAACTCATTTACTTTTGTTTACAAATAACATATGGACGTAGTTTGAAATAGTTTTTAAGGTTAACCACAGACTGCAGGACTTAAACTTCCAGAGCAAAGCTAGAATTTATGTTTTGTTTCAATCTGTTAACTAAGTCTGGTTCATAATTAAGAGTTTCCTAGCAATACTAGACAACAAAGTGTTTGTATTTTTATAATAGTTAAATCATGGACAAAAAGAATAAATATTTAATAAATATTTCATTCTTTTTGACTATGGTCAAATTGATTTACCTTTACCTTACATCGTACGTTACTGATTATCATGTAGTTACAGTTCAATGCGATAAAGTGAATTTTTAAAAGTGATTATTCACAGGGTAGTTATCCTGTGCACCATGTAGTGTACCATGTAGTTATCCGTTACATTACCATATTATCATGTAATTTACAATGTGTATCAAAATTCCAATTCCGTTATAGTGTTTTCTGTTGTTTGGTTAACTTTCTTATTTCATTTCAATTTAAAATCAAATGCCGCGAGTACGACGAAGAACTGTGAGTGACTGGAGGGAACACGGACATGACCGCTTGCATCAACCTCTCAATTGAACATTTGACGGGTACATAGTGGTAGTACCACCGTTGTGATACATCCAACCTCGGACAAATGAACTTGAAATGTTTACATTGTAGTGGCTTACATTTTAATCAAGAAAAGACTGGCCGAGACAGTAAAGTTTTTACCCTTTGTTGCAATAAATGAAAGGTTTGTTTACCTCATTTGTGCAATTCACCATACCTTCAGGATCTTATTGGAAACTCCCAATCTGAAAAAAAGGACTGTGAGACCTATATCCAGAAATTATTTGGATAAAATTTGTCAATTCAATTCTGCCTTTACCATGGTCAGCTCCGAAGCTCATTAAGACGAGAAAATTCCACAGGAGATCGACAATTTCAAGATTCATGACACGTTTTACCACCAAGTAGGTCCTCTAATTCCTCAAGAAGGTGATGAATACGCATAGATATATAAGTAAGTACAACAATGTTACTAGAACCCAAAAAGGAGAATTAAGCACAAATCAAACAAAAAATTCAATGAAAAAATATGCGGAAAATAGGGTCACAATGCCCATTTGCAAATCTTTGAAGACAGTGGCAGACATTCTGTAGGGACGAGAGCTCCGAGGAGTCAAGTGAGATTCTTATGTACATAACAAGAGACAGAAGAAGTGTCTTCCCTTGCTACAATGGTGCTACCTGTGTAGATGTCACAGCAATTTGAAAGCTGAAAACAAAGCACCACCTGGCCAAATAAATCATATAGTTTTTCCAATACTAATAATGTTAAACGGGTATCCATTCTAGACCTGTCGTTAGATCCATTTGCTTACCCTCTTATGTTCCCAACCAGAGACTTGGGTTGGGGCCCCTAATTTAAACACGCCTAAAACAGAACATATCGTAGAAATAATTTAACAATGCTAGAATAAGAGTAGCAATGGTTGGCGTCAAGAGAGGAATCAAGCTACATTAGGTCAAAAGCTCACTTTACAGTGTGTGGTTGACATCTACGTGCTCATAGAGTGCACCCGCCTACTATACATAAGAGATAACCAAAGCAGTATGAGAGTGAATGTGAATTTAAATATTGTAGATTACTTTTATAATATCATAATATTTTTTATATCCTACTAATATTATAAATGAGAAAGTTTGGATGTATGGATGTATGGATGTATGGATTTATGGATGTATGGATGTATGTTTGTGACAAGTGAACGCGAAAAATACTGGTCGGATTGGGCTGAAATTTGGCATGATGATAGCTCACATTCCCGATTAACATATATAGGCATATTCTTATTTCAAAAATCCATTCGGGCTCCGCCCCAGTGGCTCTGGAGTTTCCCATGTTAACCTTATGAGAAATGGAATTATTGAATCTTAACAGCTGTTTCAATTAAACAAGTTGGTTCTGTTCTGTGATGTTCAATAGCATTAAAGTTACAAGGATTACCAACAGGGTGCAGCACTATTATTTCTTTTACATTTATGACAACAGCTAATTTGCAACCAAAGGGTGAGTGAGCGTAGCGAACGAGCTCCAACCTAAAGGTGAGTGAGCGTAGCGAACGAGCTCCAACCTAAAGGTGAGTGAGCGTAGCGAAAACTTCAACCAGGACGTGATTGAGCCATGCGAACGAGATAATCTTGAAAATTAAGAAGTTAAACGGGGCAAAGCCCGCGGGTTACAGCTAGTTCTATAATAAGTCGTATCAATTATTTTAGAGTGACTCTTTGATTAAGGCCTTGCTGTTTATGTTTTTTGTTTATTCTTTTAATTTAATACAAGTTTCAGTTTTGCTCGATTTAGAGCAACGGGTTATCTAGTCTAAAATAAATGTGACTTTCAGTTTCATTTTTCTACCTCATTAGATTTTGGTTGGAAAAAATGACACCTTATTAATAGTTCTAAAAAACTACTAACCTTTGAAATAATGTTTTAAAAGAAACCTTACTCAGTAGTTTTTCCTTTCATTTGAATAAATAGTAAACTAGTAATCTCGACTTTAGGGTTCGTTTCCCCGGAAAAGATTTTTTTAAATACACATGTCCCTTTTTCTCAGGAACTATAAGAGATAGAACCATGAAATTTTCACAAAATATATTTGAAGCTCCACATAAGTATGCGGTACTAAATGTATTCATATACTATACCTAAGAAAAATTTTACTGCCATTTATACACACAAAATTGAAATCTAATGATGCCCCCTTAAAACAATGTAACATAGCTTTGAGGAAGCAAAATATGGTCTGTGGTCTATCATATTGCCAATCATTGGAATGTTGTCAAAATTAATAATTCTAAAACACATATTATGCAGTTCTAAACACTACAAAATGAGCAAAACATAATTTTTTTATTACCGTATAAAACTAATATTTCAGCTTTTGTCGAACAAACTACAATTTTAGGCTTTAATATTGATAAAAATTTTACATGGAAACGTCACACTGAAATGGTTGCTAAAAAATAACATACAGCTTGTTTCCAGATGTATATGTGTTAAGAAACATAATTGATTTAAAAACAAAGCCCATATTCTATACTCTAATATGAGCAATGTTTACTTGTAGTAGTCACAGCTGGTCTGCTTGGCGCGCAGCCACGCTATGGGGGGGGGGGGGGGTGCAGACGGGAGTATTTATTGCTCATTTCCAAAAACATCTGGCCTACTCGGCAAGCCGTCAGTGCAGCGGCTGAGGGCTTTGGGCTGTAGGGGTGAGTGAGCCGTAACTCTTAGGACAGCTAGTACACAAGGGTCCGCGCGCCCAGACTGACTGCGACTACTAGTATGTATGTATGTATGCTTGCTTGTACAAAGATCTCAAAAACGGCTTCGACGATTTTCTTCAAATCTTGTAAAAAGTTTATTTCTGGCCTAAAAACAATTTTACTACAGTTAGAACTGCCAAGAAAAATCTAATTACGTAGAAAAATGAAACTGAAAGTCACATTTTTTTAACATTAGTCTTATGGGTTGCTAAGTAACCATGTTGGGGGAATTAAATAACAAGAAAAAGTAAACAAAAGACTTGTAAGTTGTAACATGTGCTCATAATAAGCCATCTACCCACAGTATACTAGCAAGTTACAAAATACAGTACAAAAGGAAAAGCATACCTTGTTACTATTGAGCAAAGATTATACTGACAATAATTACTCGATACATTGTAGTAAACGCTAGCAGTGCAGAGAGTGGGAACTGTTTATGACGATTAGATTAAGGTATTTGCAATCCTAAAATGCTATTGGAAGGGAGGGAAACAGGTCCGTAACGTAGGAAGTGGTGAGGAAGTTGTCAATGCGAGCAGTCTGGAGTGTGGGAGGGAACTGTTTATAATGATTAGAGTAAGGTATCTTTAATCTTAAAATGCTATGGGAAGGGAGGGAAACAGGTCCGCGACGTAGGAAGAGGTGAAAGAAGTAGTAAAGGCTAGCAGTGCAAAGTGTCATTGTGGGGAATGTTTGTGGCAATTAGATTAATGTATCTAAAATACTAAAATGCTATGGAAAGAGATGAAAACAGGTCCACGACGTAGGAAGTAGTAAAGTTTAGCATTGAAGAGTGTGGGAACCGTCTGTGGCAGTTAGATTAATGTATCTTAAATCTAAAAATCCTATGAGAAGGGAAGGAAACAGGCCCACGACCTAGGAAGTGGTGAAGGAAGTATTAAAGGCTGGAATCACAGAGTGGGGAACCGTTTGTGGCAGTCAGATTAATGTATCTGTAATACTTAAATGCTATGAGAAGGGAAGGAAACAGGTCCATGACGTAGGAAATGGTGAAGGAAGTAGTAAGGCTAGCAGTTCAGAGTGTGGGAACCTTCTGTGGCAATTACATTAATAAATAATGGCAATTTACTCATAAATACCCATAACACGTTCAAAAAATTATTTGCAGTATCCAATACATCAGCTATGCCTTTACGAAAGATCGCCGTACTATATGGGTCTGAGGCTTTACAACGGTCTACCTGCTCATTTTAAAGGTATCAATAATATTGTAAAGTTTAAGAAAGAATTCAAAACATTCCTTATAAAAAACACTAAAAACACTATAAGGCCGTCAAAATACCACCAAATACCACAAAAACACCCCGTGGTCACGTCAACTGAAGTCTGCAACGCAACTGCAACGTCGGGCCCACGGTTGTAGGTGACTGGTTTCAAATGTTTTTTGAAATTGCATACAACCAGTTGCGTCGTGTGCGCCTCCCCACTGCAATACATTTCCGAGGTCACAAAACAGTTGCACACGCAACTGGTTTGCAACGACAGTTGTAAAACAGTCACACCGTGTGTGCTGGGCCTGAGAAACCTTTAAATATCTGAATACTCTCAGAGACATACCTTACTACATCTGTAAAGCAATCATCCAAGGAGTCTCTAGCATCTCTACCACCGAGACCTCTTGCACAAACACCACACCTGAAGTACAACCAATTTGGCCCTCCCAATTCACAAAACATCAATTTTAATCCTCCTACTACAGTCATAGAAGAACGAATAACCCTCTTCTTTAACCATTTTCAATAAAGAACAAATACTTCAAAAATACCCCCGCCGCAGCAAACCTGCAGACTAAGCGAATTTCAACTTGTCTGATTACATATTTACTAAAATATTTCCATAAATAAAGACATATTTATTCCCAATTTAAATAACATTAGATTTGACGAGTGCTTAGGTTTGCTGCTACGGGGAAGGTAAACAGTGTTTTTTGACCAAACGTCAATAGTATAGGATGAAATAAATAAATTTGCCAAATTTGATCAACATATCCATCCATAAACAAGTAAACTACAACAGTTTTTATTTTCTCCATAAAAATAACACGGGAATTTTAAATTTGCTTTTTTTTTTATTTTCTCCGTAACCATTAGACATACAACAATGCTTCAATATACTAAATTATTTTTTTTTTATTCTACAAAATGGTTGTTAAAGAAATTCAAACATTTTATGTTTTTAGGGTAAAAAAAGGGAAAACCCCATTTTTACCCCATAAAACCCCCCATAAACCCCCGTTCCCATGGTCCGATCACACTGGTTTGCGAACTCATTCGAATAAATGTAGGCTTACACGTTTATATCAAATTTCATCAAAATCGGATAATTTTTTTTGTTTGAGTTATCGTGCTAATGGACACACATATATATATATATATATATATATATATAGCCTATATATAAATATAATATATATATGAATTTGAACGGATGGTGTCTTTGGCCTCTGGGGACGTCAAAACGAAAAAGTAAATTGGTCCCGGGTCCAGGTCTTACCATGACACCTACGGTAATAGCTTATCCCCTATATGGGAAATTCGCTAAAAGAATCAACCAACAGATTTAAAATTAAAATGATACTTTACTAAAGCGCTAACTGTTGGATAGTCCTTGTTATGTGAATTGCAGAAATACTTTATGATTTTTTAAGTTCGGTTGGCAAAATTATTATATTTAAGCAAATAGTTTTAATAGTACGGGTATTAAAAAAAAGGGTAAGGAAAAAAACTGGTTTTTTGGGAAAAGGGTAATTAGTAAAAATCTGACCTTCATGTTGTCCTTGAGTTCCTTGCACTTGACTTTCCTTAAAATCTGCCGCCATTGTTGGTTGATCTTTGCTGAATTCAGCCTCATGAAAGCTTCTTCATGTTTCAGTTTGTTCTAATTAAATGAAACATATTTTTAAAACCATTTGACTACAACAAGCTCATCTTATTTTACCGGTACTGTATAAGATAATAATTTTATGCTTAGCCACTATAGTAATTTGGAAACACACAGGTTTTAATGGTAATGTGGTTTGGGTCACACATAGGCAAATCAACAAATGCCACTATCTTACAAGGGTTCTGACAGTTCAGTTGAAATGTATTTCAATTGATGTGGAGCTTTTTGTGAAGAATAACTTGTTGGTTAATTGTGTTGTTAGATTACAGATTTTAATACTGTAACAGCATCTTAGTCGAACATCAATGTTTTAAATGAACTAATGCTGCAGCCTCTTGATGGATTAAAGAGTTATTATCAATTATCAATTATTTAAGATGGGGACGCCACTATGTGCGTATTTTAACCCAAATATGAGTGAAGGATGAGTGTAGGATGAGTGGCGCGATCTTGTAGTCTTGTTAGTGACTAAGGCCGACATGTTCCTTAGACACAGCTGTTAATTAATAGCCCATACAGCTAATGGCAACTAAGGGACCTACAGTTTAGAGTGGAATCCGAACCACATTTTTTCCTTGGTATTTAACGAATTGGTCTAATTATCAGGATAGTACTGCGGATAGTCGAGTACTCACTCGTGCGGACGTTAATCCACACCAGGGAGCATCGCATCCACAGTGTATGCCTATAAATATCCACAATTTGTGACCTCCTAGTAGCTGGATTACAGGACAACGCCACCCGTCCCAGTCCTTAAAAAGAACCCAGCAAGCTTTTCACATACTTACCTTGTCACAGAAAAACACAATCAGAACAACACAACAACACACAACAATCAGAAAAACACCAACTTATCAGTCTAGGCTACAAAAACACCTCCACTGTCCATGAATTCCAAGGCAGACAAGCAGAAAACATCCTTGTGATTCGTACCTCAAACAAACAAGAAGACTCTACAACTCACAATCGCATTGCATTGTCGCTATCTCAAGACACACTAAATCTTTTCTTTACATTACTGCATGTCAAAATGACACAATAAGCAAATGGATCAAGCAAGCCACCACCCTGAGCAAAGAAGAGCTCATTAAATACTCAAAAGACTCGAGCACAGACAATCAACAACAACCAACCCCATTCCCAATCATCGATGAACATAAAATACAAACAAACCTACATCCTGAGCAGAAAACACCGCAACACCATTTTTTAGTCCGAAGCACTACTCCCAAAAAGAGACACAAGCTGAACACAGAATACAAAACCCGGACACTCTGGAACTCGGCTTTCAGGAAAACCAATCCCTTAGCAACCAAAACACCATAAAAATAGCACATCAAAATATAAACTGGCTAACTAATAAACTAGATAGACTTAGCCATTTCCTCTACAATGAAAACCCGGACCTGTTAATAATAACTGAACATGGACTATCAAAGGAAAACCTTGCTACAACCTGCATTGAGGGCTATACTCACTTATTGGGGGATTCACAAGAAAAGACCACATCAAAGGAGGAGTTGCTGGATACGTGAAGAAAGGCCAGGAAAAGGAAATAACACTTGTTGAAACTAGTAGAGCTGAATCAGAACTCGTGTGTGAAACTGCCCTCTTTGAGATAAAGAGAAAAAAGCGAAATATACAGGTACTTGGTGTCTACAGACCACCTAGGGCAAAACTAGACAGCTCAATATAAGTCCTAACTGAACAACTTAATAGATGATGAACTCAAACCAAGAAACTGTAATCATGGGAGACATCAATGTGGACAATTTTATTGAAAATAACGACAACACAAAACTACAAGAACTACTTACTACATACGGCATCGTGAGAATGAACATCCCTCCCACGCGAATCACAAGTGAAAAAGAAACATCAATAGACTGGATCTGTACTAACATTCAACCTGAGAATGTACAAACCTCTATCGTCCTGACAGGCTTATCTGACCATACAGCACAAATATGTTCCCTTAAAATGTCAAAAAAAAAAACCCCAACACTAGGAAAGAAAAATACTAATCACCAATAGAGAATTAACACTGTTTAAGGAGAAACTACAAACACAAAAATGGGATGAGATTCTAATGGAAGAGGACGTCAACCTTGCCTACAACTCTTTCCACAGTACACTACAGCTTATACTGAATTAAACCTGCCCACTGAAACTACAAAAAAAAAAAATAAATAAATAAAAAAGACAGGTCTGGGATGACGAGTGCAACCAACTGAAAAATGTGTACATCAGTGCACTAGAAATAGAACAACTTACGGGCCTGACAGAAAACAAAGCACAAACAGCGGAAAGAAAGAGAGGAATATGACCTGAGACTGAAACACCTGAGACGAGAACAAACTGTAGCATACATTAATGAAGCAGAAAATAAATCAAAAGCAATGTGGCAGACAATAAATGTCATAATCTTATTCTATTACTCTATTCTAAATAGTCAGCTGTTGGTAAATATTAAATAGTAAACACTTCTTATTGTTACTTTTTGAAAAACATTACACTACAAACACATCTATGTTGTTAAAATAAAAGATATAATTTACAATGTGCGTGTATTTCAATAATACGGTCACAACACTTTTTGTAAAAACCGAAATAATGACATTTTACACGTTCAAATAATCTTTAATTATTATTCAATCTGTTTCAATCATTCAACCTACACTACTTTCATTGCATTTGACTGGACCATAATGGATGCTGACCAATTCAAGGAATTCTTACAAGTTTTTCAACAGCAACAACAAGAACAGTTTCAACAATTATTCTCACATTTCACAAGGTATGAGAAGTCGGAGGTATCAGTAAGTCTTACAAATATTGCTCGATTTGAAAATTTCGAACCTAGACGTGAGAAGTTTTGTAATTATCTAGAACGCTTTGAAAATTACTATACTCTGATAGGCCTGACTCAAAAGGAAGGTATTGCTCAACTCTTATGTGTATCTATTGGGTCAGTACATTACAATGCCCTATCAGCTTTTCTAGGCCCAGAGAAACCAATAAAAAACTTACCTTACGATGATCTCGTCAAAGTTCTAACTCAATTGCTTGTTCCTAAGAAAAATGTAGTCGTTTCTCAACATTACTTTTTGAACATTTATCAAAAGAATGGTCAGTCAATATCAGATTTCGTAGCCTCACTTCAGCGAGACTTAGTCGATTGTGAGTTTACAGTTCAATGTGAATGCGAGAAAACAAATTCAATCTCTGATGTATTTTTACGAGCCCAGTTCATCCGTGGCCTTCGAGATGATTGCTTAAAGAACAGATCTTACAATCAAATCTCTCTAGTTTTGACGAAATACTCAATAAGGCTATTGCTTTAGAGGCATCAAAACTTGACAGCAAAGAACTTTCTAATCCTAATCAGACATCAAGTTTTAACAATTTTACTTCTACCGAATCTACTAATGTAATTTCCAGCAGTTACAGAACTTCCAGAGACGGTTCAAAAGACCCAGGAAACAGAAGATTAAACTCGAATAGCAGATATTCACCTGAAAACTACAAGTCTAGATCCGTCTCCCGAAAAAGGTACATCGACTTCAAGGCCTTGGGAATTGAAAACGTATATTTGCGATGTGGTAAAAATAGTCACAAGGCAAGTAACTGTAGAGTAGACTATAAGAAGCTCTCGTGTAATAACTGCAAAAGGAAAGGACATGTATCAAAAGTTTGCATTCAATCACTACTCAAAAATTCAAAAGTAGATTTAGTTGAACCGTACTTAAATTCAGCTACTAACAGTGAACAGTACAATCAACCTTTTCATGACCCAACATACGGCATTCATAGCATGAATTGTACCGTAGTAGACCTTTTTGAAATGACTCCCGATCTCGACAAATACCTCATTGATGTAGAATTAAACGGCAAACGTCAAAGTTTTGAAGTCGATTCCGGTGCAAAATTTTCCCTACTTTCAGAAAGTGATTTCAAGAAACTCAAGCTTGGCATTCCCCTACAGAATTCTAATGTTTGCTTTCGGTCATACACAGGTAACATCATTAAGCCTGTTGGAAAGGTATCTGTTACTGTAACGTACAATGGTAAACAGATAGATGATGAATTACACATCGTACCTGCAGGACATGACGCTTTGCTAGGTAGACAGTGGATTAGAGGGTTAGAAATCGAGCTTCGTCAGGTGTACGATGAAATGTTTCAGAAACCTTCAAACCATGTTTCAATTCACAAAGTAAACTCGATAAACGCTTTTTCAACCAAACTCAAAACATATACAAGTTCAACAGATAAACTAATCGGAGCTGAAGTTAACCAGCTTTATTCTCAATCACTTTTTCGAGTATCCAACTATGAAACATCTTCAATGACAATCAAAGAAGGGACCGAAAAAGACCATGAAATGAATGGAATATTTCAAACCTTGAAAAACGTCTCTTACAGACTCAAAAAACACCCTACATTAAACCCTATTTTAAAACCCGTTAGATCGATTCAAGAGGGGGAGATAGTGCAAGTTAAAATATTCTCTAACAACAGACAAGTTTGGCAGTTCGCAGTAAGAAGAAGCTAGGAAAAAGGCACTTTATAGTAACACTAGATAGTGGAAGAAACGTCAAGAGACACATTAACCACTTGAGACCAACTATCATGAAAGAAAAGAAGGTAACATTTGGACCTGAACAACCGTTTAATGTACCAAGACTCCCAAACCAATCTCCACCTTATCCTGATCAAAGACCCGAGACCCGACCATATTGAACCAGAACCAGACCAACCTACAGAAGTTAACATTCCAGTTCGCTCTCCACGACCAATAAGACAACGACGACAGCCACCTTGGTTAGGAGACTTTATCGTACAAAAATAGTTTATGTTCTTCTCAATAAGTGAGGGAAAGTGTCATAATCTTATTCTATTACTCCTATTCTAAATAGTCAGCTGTTGGTAAAAAATATTAAATAGTAAACACTTCTTATTGTTACTTTTTGAAAAAACATTACACTACAAACATCTATGTTGTTAAAATAAAAGGATATAATTTACAATGTGCGTGTATTTCAATAGTACGGTCACAACAATAAATAATGAAAGAAAGGCAACCACTAATACAAACCATCAGCTCAGCCTTCAGCTAAATGGAAAAACGACCTTGGACCCACATGAAATAGCAAACTCCTTAAACGTATATTTTGCAACAATAGCAGAAAACACACTCCAAACAGACAAAAGCAACACCAATCCCACACACCCTGACCTAGCCCCAGCCACAAATGAGCAGTTAGAATTCCATTTAACAACTTTTGAAGAAGTAAAAAAGACCATAGACTCCTTAAAACCTAAAACCTCTTCTGGTGTCGATGAATTATCTTCAAAACTGGTTAAAAGATGTAAAGAGATAAGAACTGACACCACTCACAATTATAATAAATAAATCCCTACAGCAAGGAATTTTTCCAACTGCTCTAAAGACCGCCAAAATATACCCAAAATATAAAAAAAGGGCCACAAATTGAACCTAGCAGCTATAGGCCAATATCCCTGATCCCAACATTCTCAAAAATAATCGAAAAAATTGTACTTGCTAGACTCCTAAGCCATCTCGAACGGCATAGCCTACTCATGAATAAACAGCACGGATTCCTCAGGGGTAGATCAACAACAACAGCCCTGATACAGCTGACGGAACATGTCATAGACCAATTGGAGGAAGGATGCTCAGTGACCAGCCTGTTTCTTGACTTTAGCAAAGCCTCAATCACGACCAGCTACTACAAAAACTAAGAGCCCTAGGAGTTGGAGGTAAAGAAGCAGAATGGTTTAAATGCTATCTCAAGGGAAGTGGCAACCCAGGCAACTGGTAGAAATAAATCACACCCAAAATAACATAAACTACAAAATCCAATCTCCAACAACTGGTGTAAAAAGAGGGGTTCCACAAGGATCTGTACTCCCCAGTATTGGCCAGTGCTCTTCCTCCTCCTCACGAATGACATGCCAAACTGCATGGATGATGCCTGCTCCACCATAATGTACGCAGACGATACCGTGCTTACCATCTCTGATAAAGCTACTGAAATGCTTTGAAGCAAATATGATTGCATTCCTCAACCAAGCTAAACACTACTGTATAAACAATGATCTAGTCTTAAATGAAAACAAAACAGTACAAATTATTTTTAACACAAAAAATAAAAGTACAAACTTAGCACCTCTCCCCGGCCTGGAAGCAAGCAACATAACCAAATATCTAGGTATCACAATTGACTCAAAATTGTCATGGAAGCAACACATCGACCAACTTGGCAAGAAACTCTCATCAGGTACCCGCATAATTTGAAGACTCAAACAAATATGTGGCCTGGAGATAGCTAAAGTTGCCTACTTTGCTCTTTTTGAAACCCACTTAAGATATGGAATAGTGACATGGGGAGGAACATCAGCATCCAATAAGGAAAAGATTCTTACTCTACAAAAAAGAGCAATCAGATGCCTAGCAGGACTACACTACCAAGAAAGCAGCCGGGAATCTTTTAAACAACTAAAAATCCTCACAGCAACCTCACTCTACATTCGGGAAACTATTCTGCATGCAGTCACCTCACAACAGTTAAGAAATCATGAACTCCATACATACAACACAAGACATGCCACAAATTTCACCCTACCACTACACTGCCTAACGCTTTTAGAGAAGAAACCTTCATACAAAGGAGCGCTCTTCTTCAACCACCTACCCGACCATCTAAGAAGCCAGCCACCCCAACGTTTCAAGAACCAGCTAACGGAATGGCTCTAATAAAGACCCTACTACTCAGAATCAGAATTCCTGAACACCTGACACAGCGCCACCACCGACGAGAGCTCTCTCTGGACATCAAAATGTTAACTTTGTGTTATCACATTACATAACTATAAAAAAAAAGGATTTAAAAAATATAAAATAAAAACCTTTGCATTAGAGGTGCAGAGCATTTCGATGTACAGTAGAACCTCTTTAATCCGAACCCCTGTAATCCGAACGTCCACTAATCCGAACCCCTCATTGCTGTACTCTATACACAGTACAGCAGTTCTTTATTGTATACTGTATTTAATTTACAGTACTGTTTATTCACCATGTTTACTACTGTATTAAATAAACACTGTATTTTACTTTATAAAACATTTTTTCACTTTTCCCAAAATAATGTTGATCAGTTTTAGCTATTGTTATGTAAAAACAACAATATGTTCTGTAATCCGAACTATTCAATAGTCCGAACTACCCCTGGTCCCAATTAGTTCGGATATAAGAGGTTCTACTGTAGTACCATCTCATCCAATCTTGTCAAACATCCAGATTCCTAAAAAAGTGGTATTTCCCAGCAAGTTTTTTTTACTAAACTTATTTTCTTGTACCTCCACAGCTCCCAAAAAGGTCATGTTCAAACGTTAAAAATGAAATATATTCCTCCTTATGATCTCCATGCTCACTAACATTTACATTTTCATTAGTAACTTCATTAGTTATTTTACAATTGGTAATGAAAATTAGTTGTTTGAAGTTTGGAAAATTGCTCCATTATCAAATATGGCGACCAACTTTAAAATTTCTGGTGATCAAAGATTTTTGGTTTGTTTATCCACACAGTATTTCAAAACTTTTTATGGTGTATAGTTTTTTAATAAGGCTTCTCGTTTTTGGGATATAGAAATTCAAAAGTGATATTTCCAAATTTCCAATTCGTCGGCCAATTTTAAATTCTTTTGGAATAACTGTTATTTTGTATGAATTTTTCAAGTTTAATTTTAACATTTCAACTTAAAATAGTTAGTCAAAGTAATTGTATGGCCAACAGCTCTATTTTACAGTGAACAGATATATTGAAACATATACGGTACAGGGTGACAATTAAGTCTTAGGACGACTTTATAACTTTAAAACGAAAAGAAATATCACAACCAAATTTGGCAGGTCATTACTGGTAATAGTAAGCTACTTTTCTCTGTACATGGTGATCGGATGTCACCTATAGCGGACGGCCCATAGGGAGTAAGTTGAAAATCTTAAAGGTAAGTAAAATCATAAGTTGATATGTACATAAAATAAAAGGTCCTGTTAAACCAAAAACAATGCCGCAAACCGGACCTCAAATGGGCAATCAAGCTAAAAATGACAGCTGTTCAATGATTCATTGAATTTGCAATGGTATTATACGCTACCTCCTCAGGGGGGCCCGCCAGAAGACGGAAGAAAATCATAAACATAAGCATAGGTCGATATGCACATAAAATTAAATGTCATTATTTGTATACAATGCCCCAAATTTGAGCTCAAAAGAACTACCGAGTCAAAAAATGCAGCCGTTTAAAAATTCAAAATGGCAGATTCAAGAAATCTTTGAACAGCTGCCATTTTTGACTCGGTTGTTTATTTGAGGTCTGTTTTGCGCCATTGTTTTTAGTTCAACAAGACTTTAATTTATGTACATATTAAATAAAATGTATTTATTTAATATCTATGTACTTAATTGTCTGTCACCCTGTCCCTGTATATATGATTACCAGTAGATAGTAATGTACCGATCCTAGCGCAAAAAAGTACGAGTTCAGAAAACCAATGTAAAATCTCTGTTTTTAACACAAATCATGTTATGATTCGTGTTCATGTTAACACGAACACGAATCATAACATGATTTGTGTTAAAAACAGAGATTTTACATTGGTTTTCTGAACTCGTACTTTTTTGCGCTAGGATCGGTACATTACTATCTACTATTACCAACCAACCGCACAAGATTAGCATTGTTTGACGATTGATAGAACTAAGCAACTGTCACAAATATAAAATAATGAAGGTAGACTACTATAAACGTTCTAATAGTACCCTACTAACTCTAAGTTCCTTCTAAGGAAACTTCAAGACCTGACAAGTGAACCATAAAGCATAGGTTTTTGGACGAGATGGCACTAATTAATGGGTGGAGAATTACCTCTGCCCTACATGGCCCTTCGTGGAATCTGGAAGAGCTGGACAAGATTGCATCTGGACGAGATGGCACGACACCATGCGTTTCCATTCGTTAGACTATCCGAGTTGATAATATTTTATTATTACACTATTTACAAGAAATGGAAGAGGAACTCATAACTTCATGGCTCAAAAAATAAGTAAACATCTCAATCAGTGTCTCGGGGAAATTTATTTTTATATGAATAATATCAGAGGAAATATAGTACTGTATTATAGCAGCAATGTCAATCAATAATATAATTTTGGGAAAATATGGAAACCATGTAAATAATAATTGGGTACATACAGAGAAACTAACATAATAGAAATACAATTTTTCAGTATTATGTTTTTATAACTTTTAGATGATTAGAATTCACTTTGGATAGGAAAATTTTAATTTGTCTGGAGTACAAAATGAAATATGATGTATGGTAGCTAAAACTTTTTTAATTTTCACAATGCTCCATGTAAAATAAAATAGTTTGGTAGGCATAAGTTATCAGTTGACTTCAATTCCTTCTAGTAAACAATTAAATGAGATTACAGTTTTCTTTAAATCTTTACTAGTTTTGTATTATGTCTCAAGCAAAAATTTATTCGACAAGTAATTTGAAAATCTTGAATAAAAATAATTTGCTGGTAACGGAACAGTTACCATGTAGTTCATGAATAATTGGTTATTTGGTGACATCTTTATCTCTCTGGATTTTTAATATAATATTACCTTCATATAAGTGGCAATGAGCTGTTCTTTTCTTCTCCTAGCTTCTTCTTCAATGGCTGCTCGATGTTGCATGTATCTTATCCTTTCTTCTTCTGACATCCGAGCCAGTTTGCTTCCTTTACCCTTCTTCTTAGGGCCCATTTTGCTAATACTTGAGGTTTACCTGGAAGTATAAAGCCCCTAAGTTATGTAACAACAACTGCACTAAGAGCCACCTAACACGCTCTCAAGAACTCGTGAATTACAACTTTATGAGACACATTACACAAAGCACCGAGTTGTTGACAGATATCCAAGCAACATAGACTGTGATTTCACCATGGCAATGCTCAGGGTGAGGAGAGGGGGGAGTGGGCTGATAGTAATGGATATGGATCCAACACTTGGCTTCAATATTAGTTTTGGGATGTTATGAAATCATTCATGTTACATTTAAAACTAAGTTAAATATAAATACCCCCACCTCAGCAAACCTGCAGACTTGACAAATTTCAATTAGACCTAGGTGATGTCCCCATCTCATTGATTGGATTTTGTACTAAAATATTTCCATAAACAACCATGTATTCCCTATTTAAATAACATAAGATTTGACGAGTAGGTACTTAGGTTTCTGCCCTGCTACAGGGAAGAGAAGAAGTGTGTGTTTTTTTTTCAAAATTTAAATAGTAAAGGATGTAATAAATTAATTTGCTAAATTTTATTAAAATATTATCCACTAGCAGAGTACCCGTCGTTCGTACGGGGTTGTCATATAAGTATAAAATTCTAATTGCAGTTATGGGAGAGGACACAGTTTAAGAAAATTTGGTTCTTTTAATCTTTTAATTTATTTAGTATGCTATAATATAGCACATACCATAGCCATAATGTTCTACCACTACCACTGTACCTAAACCCTAAACCATAGAAAAAGTAAAGTTCTCCTTGTGTACCACAGCTTTTTGTTGCTAGTTGGTTCAACCATAGACAAGAATTAAATATAGACTGTCAGCCGTGCTGCTATTACCATGGTTACCATAGGTTTTGACGCAAACCACTGGGAGCGCCTTGTAGTTATGGTGTAGGTGTACACGATACGTAACTACACGGCACTCCCAGCAGTGTGGGCCAGACAGAACCTATGGTAACCGCAGCACGGCTGACAGTCTATATTTAATTCTTTTTGTCTATGGTTCAATTTAGGTGTTGTCATAAATCATAGACAAATAGAATATTATATTTGTCTATGCATAAATGCAAAAGAATAATAGTGCTGCACCCTGTTGATATACCTTATAACTTTTTAATGCTTAATATCATAGATCCAACTTGTGCAGTTGAAACAGCTGACAAAATTCTTCAATTTCTCTCTTAAATATGAATACTCATAAAGTTAACATGGAAAACTCCAGGGCCACTGGGGTGGAGCATGAAATAATTTTGTTGATAAGAATATGTCTATATGTTAATCGGGAATGTAAGCTTTCACCACCAAATTTCAGCCCAATCCGACCAATAGTTGATGCGTGATTGAACTTCAAACAAACACACAAACTTACACATCTATAATATTAGCAAGATAAGATAAGGTAAGATAAACAAAAAATTACAATATAGCCATTTTAAATGTACAGTTTTTTGTAATTTCCTCTGTAACCATTAATTTTTATACAAAACATACCAAATTTTTTTCTATGTCCCTTAACACATAGCTAAAATGAAAATTTGACATTTCCGTGTTTGGAGAGTAAAAGTTTGAAAACCCAATTTTTGAAATATGTTTCAACCCCTGTTTCGAACCCCTGTATGTTGTATGTTTCGATCCTGTTTGTAAGTGTCATCAAAGTCAGACCAAAATTGCTCAAGCTGTGTTCTCGGATTCACACACACATTAGGTGAAACCCGTCGACAACGACGGTTACTCTCGAGGTTTTACGTAAATTCAGCTAACTGCGATAGATAGAGTGAAGTTATTAAAATCTTAGTTAAATGAAGGGAGGATAAACATAATTGAAGAGAGGATAAACATAATTATGCTTGATTGTGTACCTTAAAAACGTTGTTGATGAATTTTTTTGAATACAATATTTTCTGTCCTTTCATAGGCTTTAGGTTGCCCAAAAGATTTTTTAGAAGTCTTACAATTGTTTCTTGTTCATGAGTTTTGATCATGTTAAAGCATGTTTCACTATGTGGGGAAAGGAGTTCATATAATTGGTCTGTAATCTTACAGAAAGAGTCAATATTACTAATAACTGGTTCCATCTGCTTTAGGAAAATCATTCAGATCGTATTTAGATTGTATAAGTGAATCACCATCTTTGGTCATAAAAATACAGAATCAACGGGATGCATTAAATTAGTTTATTTTTGTATTTGATTTAAAAAAAAATCGGATTCTTCACAAAACTGCAACATTCTTACTTCGATGAGGGTCTAACCGATTTTGATTCCTTCTCTTGCCACATCGACCAATGTATTTAATCATCCTGTACTTATTTGCTAATTGATTAACTTCTGGCGTAGATTTGTGAAATCGTGCCATGAGGTTGCTGTGAAACTTGAACTTTATTGATATGCGAGGGTTAAATGCCTTTTGGCCCCTGAGGGTGAGTTTTAAAATGAGTTCCCCCCCCATACTTTTTTCTACATTTCTTAAGATATCAACTGCAGAGCACGTCAGATCATTGTAGAGTAGTAAGTACTTTATTTTGACTGGGTATACATTTTTGGCCGCCGTCTTGGATCCGCCATACTGGATACAAAGTTTTTTAGCGAATTTCCCTATAGGGAAGTAGCTATTACCGTAGGTGGCACGGTAAGACCTAGGCCCGGGACCGATTTACTTTTTCATTTTGATGTCCCCAGAGGCCAAAAACACTATTTGTTCAAATTTTTATATATGTATATATATATCTAATATATAAAATTCTCGTGTCACAGTGTTTGTCTGCAAACTCCTCCGGAACGACTTCACCGATCGTTATGAAATTTGGTGTGTAAATTCTGTAGGTATGCGAATCGGACGTAAACTATTTCCCGTTTCGAAATTCTTAAAAGGGCTCCGCCCCAGTGGCTCTGGAGTTTCCCATGTTAACCTTATGAGAAATGGAATTAATGAATCTTAACAGCTGTTTCAATTAAACAAGTTGGTTCTGTTCTATGATGTTCAATAGCATTAAAGTTACAAGGATTACCAACAGGGTGCAGCACTATTATTTCTTTTACATTTATGACAACAGCTAATTTGCAACCAAAAGGTGAGTGAGCGTAGCGAACGAACTTCAACCTGGAGGCGAGTTAGCGTAGCGAACGAGCTAACCTGAAGGCAAGTGAGCGCAGCGAACGAGCTCCAACCTAAAGGTGAGTGAGCGTAGCGAACGAGCTCCAACCCAAAGGTGAGTGAGCGTAGCGAACGAACTTCAACCTGGAGGCAAGTTAGCGTAGCGAACGAGCTAACCTGAAGGCAAGTGAGCGCAGCGAACGAGCTCCAACCTAAAGGTGAGTGAGCGTAGCGAACGAGCTCCAACCCAAAGGTGAGTGAGCGTAGCGAACGAACTTCAACCAGGACGTGATTGAGCGATGCGAACGAGATCATCTTGAAAATTAAACGTAACGGTACTTTCTTTCCATCGGTCTGTCTTAGGGGAAACCTATAACTTAGGCGATACGAAGTTCGCCGGGTCAGCTAGTATATATATATATATAGATTTATATATATATATATACGTCCGTAAACGCGATAACTTGAGTAATTTTTGTCCGATTTTGATGAAATTTGGTTTGAAGGTGTAAGGCGGGATAAACTTGAATGAGTTCGCGAACCAGCATGATCGGACCATGGGAACAGTGTTTTACGGGGGCTTTTATGGGGTAAAAAATTGTTTTTCTAATTTTTGACCCTCAAAACACATAATTTCTCAATTTCTCTCGAGACCTTGTTAAAGAGCTAAAAAAAACAAATAATTTAGTATATCAAAGTGTTTTTGTACGGTTATTGGTAACGGAGAAACTTAAAATTCCCATGTTATTCTTATGGAGAATATTGTAAAATGATGTAGTTTGCTTGTTTATTGATATATTTGGATTAAACTTGGCCAATTTATTTATTTTATACTAAGCTATTAATATTTTATTAAAAAACTTGCTTAATTAGTTTCCTTGTAGCAGCAAACCTAGGTACTCGTTAAACCTAATGTTATTTAAACAGATTTGATCGAAAATCAGTTCAGACAAATGGAAATTCGCTTAGTCGGCAGGTATGCTGCGGCGGGGTATTTTTCAAATGTAAAGGTAGGGTTGTGACCCATCGTTTTAAGCTAGATTTTTACGCTGAATACGATGCTGCAATCCGTTTTTAAAAATCTTGATCCATTCTAAAGTTATGAGAACTTTTTAACTTTATTTTTAGCTCATTTTAACATTGTGCATTTAGAAACTAGGACCATAATCGCTTAATAGTGCTAGATAAAGATAAGTATACACTACCATAGTCATTGTCAACCTATTTTAACTTGGTTATGACTGATGTATTTTTTTCGGCCACCATCTTGGATCCACCATTTTGAAATTAGATAGATTATTTTAAATATGAAGGTGGTGTTGTGACCCATCATTTTAAATTACATTTTATGATGAACTCAATGCCGCAATCCATTTTTAGCGAATTTCTCCTATAGGGAATAAGATATTACCGTAGTACTCATGGCAAGACCTGGACCCGGGACCGATTTACTTTTTTGTTTTGAGGTCCATAGAGACCAAAAACACAATCCGTTCAAACTCATATATATATATTTATATTTATATATGTGTCCGTTAGCGCGATAACTCGAATAAAAATCATCCGATTTTGATGAAATTTGGTACAAACTTGTAAACCTACATTTATTCGAACGAGTTCGCGAACCAACATGATCGGACTGTGGGAACAAGGGTCTATGAGGGGTTTTATGGGGTAAAAATTGGGTTTTCCCAACCATTTTGTAGAGCTTAAAAAAACAAATAATTTAGTATATTGAAGCATTATTATGCGACTAATGGTTACGGAGAAAATTCAAAAAAACTGTAAATTTTAAATTACCATGTTATTCTTGTAGAGAATAAATAAACTGTAGTCGTTTGCTTGTTTATTAACATATTTTGATCAAATTTGTAAAATGCATTCATTTCATACTAAACTATTAACATTTTACAAAAACACAAACTTTTTACCCTCCCTGTTGCAGCAAACCTAAGTACTCGTTAATTCGCTTAGTCTGCAGGTTTGCTGCGGCGGGGGTTTTTTGTTATCAAGCTTTCTTGATGAAATATTACAATTATTTTATTTAAAATGTCAATATTTCAAAAACTAAATATGAAACTTAAAAATGGATTTCGCCATTTAGTTCAGCATAAAAAACTAGGTAATTCAAAATGATGGGTCACAACACCACCTTCATATTTAAAATAATTTATCTCATTTCAAAATGGCGGATCCAAGATGGCGGCTGAAAAAAATACATCCGTAATAACCAAGTTAAAATATGTTGACAATGGCTGGTGGTGTATAGTATACTTATCTTTATCTAGCACTATTTTGCGATTATGGTCCTAGTTTCTAAATGCACAATGTTAAAATGGGCTAAAAATAAAGTTATAAAAAGTTCTCATAACTTTAGAATGGATCAAGATTTTTAAAAACAGATTGCAGCATCGTATTCAGCGTAAAAATCTGGTTTAAAACGATGGGTCACAACCCTGCCTTTACGTTTGAAACAAAATCTTTGTATCCAATATGGCGGATCCAAGATGGCGGCCAAAAATGTATACCCAGTACAAATGAAGTACTTACTACTCTGCAATGATCTGACGTGGTCCGGAGTTGATATCTTAAGAAATGTAGGAAAAAGTAGGGGGGGGGGGAACTCATTTAAAACTCACCCTGTATAGCCTAATGAAACCCCATTTGATTAACCTGGCGGCAAACAGTTGTTTGTCGGACTAAAATCCTTGCATGTTAAGTTCGTTAAACAGTGTAGTGTGGCGTAAAAGGTGTGTGAGTTGTTTATATCGTTGGGTGTTACCAGTACAAAACAATAATGTTTAGATTCAGGAGGCAGTGCTATTTGTTGTAGTGTGTAATTGTTCTGTGTGTGGAGGTGAGTTTGTTATGCAGACATTGAATCAGCTGTTTGTTGCGTCACACTGACACTTCGACTATGACAATGGCAACCAAGAAGGACACAGAGTCTAGTGAGAACAAAGACTGTTAGTGACATGGTCCTATAATCCCTGTACACAATAGACTTAATCGATAAATATTCGCAATAAATATAAATTACCATCCAATCAAACAGCTACCCATGAAGCCAGTTTGTTTCTGAGATTTGGTACCTAACGTAAGTTAATTGTAAATTATATGTGACGTATGAAAGTACACATAAATCAACTGACCATTCTCTTAATCTATACTTATTTAATACGCAAGCAGGGTTTTTGTGACAATTACTCATACGAAACTACTGAATCGATTGACATGTTTTTGGTGTCATTGGAAAGAGCGTGACGTCAAGTTGTGCAGGAAACTTTCTTTTTAGGGAAATAATTAGAGAGTGAGGCCTTGGGGCCCTTTAAAGTTTCGTATTTCTCTATAAGATTAACATGAGAAACAAACATTGTTATGAAACTCCAGCTGTTGTCAGAAATTAAAAGTGAGAAGAAGAACATATATGTTAATTGTAAAATTGTGACAGAGAGGTAATGCAGAAAATCAGGTAGTTAATGGTTATTTGGTGCTATTAAAATAAAGACTGAAATTTGCAAACTACTGGCGACAATGAGTGATACCATGCAGACTACATTATCATTGACAAAGACCAACATGGACAACCTATTGCAGCTATAAGTGGGAAACATTTCTACAATACACTAAAAGCCAGATCAGATTTTGAAAAATGATCAAATATTTACAAGAAATGTTGATTATATTGAACTGTTAAGTACATTGTGAGTACTAACATTAGTTACGTAATCTTTGAGTTGACTCTTTTAAACTCATCGGAATTTATGACTTATATTTGTTCTTAAATAAGTTATTTGTTTTTAAATAACTTCTTTGCGATGGCTCGATTTCGAGCAACATGTATGCAGTTAAGTTTCAAACGTGATAGTATAAATAGTATATATTAAAGCCAACAGTTATCGCACATGATGTGCACCAGGATCTATAAAAAAGCAGCCATGGTTGCCATGGAGTGGTTATGAAGCGGAACTCGTCGTGGATGGTGAATGGCGACGAGAGTTTACTATAGTTCACTACTTGATCACTCGTCACAGGAGTTATATGCCCGAGTTGAATATGACTAATCTATTGCCTAAACCCACTGCCTCACAAGTGAATGAATAATTCGTCGATATGATAACTATAGGGACAACACGAAAATAGAAGTAGCCTACAATAAATCTCACCGCTCCTATAACTGGATGTGTGGCATCACCTAGCTTATATATAGCATTTATTATAAATGGGAACAGAGAACTAGCGTTAACAATTAACATAGAATATGTTATGGGCTTACATTGTAACAATGGGTTTGACCACCGGGGCACTGTGGCGACGCACCGGTCGAGTTATCATTTGACTCCACTCCGGGTCAGTTAGCTGCACTGCAGCGTCCTTCAAGTCAGCTTCGAGGGATTACAGCTTTAAAAACTTTCTGAGAGTTTCCTTTTGCAGTCTTAAGCTTAAACATCGATAGCAAGAATAAATAAATAACATATACGTGCACCAGCTGTGGTTAGCGCTTGTAAGACAACGACGCGAAGGAATAAGGCTTAAATTTCTTGTGGACCACATAATGGACAGTTTAGGTTTATGGATGATCTTTTATTTTAGAGAATTTCCCTATAGGGAAGTACCTATTACCGTAGATGACATGGTAAGACCTAGGCCCGGGACCGATTTACTTTTCCATTTTAATGTTCCCAGAGGCGAAAAACACAATCCGTTCAAATATATATAGATAAATATAAATAAATAAATAAATATATATATATATATATATACTAGCTGTTTGCCCGTTCTACGTACGGGAATCTTGTAGTAAGTTGAAACCTTATATTCAGAACAGGAGTTGGTTTGCATATTTAGTGTGCATTTTTCCAGATATGCTGGCAAAACTATTACTGTATATGAATACATATAAACCTTCGCAAATACAATATCTGACAGTTTCAAAGCCAAAACGAATGCTTCGCAATTAAATGTCACCCGATCGTCTTAGTCCATATTTTATATCTTATGATAAAAGGAATTGATTTTTAGATCTATGAGGCATAGCCCTAAGGTAGGCCTGTAATTGAAAGTTACTTTTCACACTGAATAAAAGTAGTTAAAATACTACCTCAACCTCACTACTGCACACTTTATTCGGGTTGAAATTTTCATTAACAAAGGTGCTCTTGTCCTTCCCACGAAACTCTGAGAAATTAGGACATTAATGCGTTACTAACAGACACACAAAAATACAGAATTGAATTAGGGGATTTGCTACGCTTTATCCAAAGCAAATTACAAACAAAATAATTATTTGAAAGTTTTGATAGTGTCATCAAATTTTATGATAATCGTTTTTAGGCCTAATCAAACTGTAAAATTGGTGTAAATCCGTTGGAAAATATATAAATAAGTAAATAAATACACAGTCCACAAAATATTTATACGTTAACAACGCCAAGCTTTAAAAATTCATGATGGTTTTAAAAAAATCTTTCGCTAATGTTTTATCATTTTCATAGCATAAACTAACATTTTGGAGTAGAGACAGAAAACGCAAAAATTATACGGTAAGACATCAATTAAATTTAATAAGAAATAAGAAGCAGCACTAACGATAACTATTAGTGATGTGTTTGTAGGCCTACGTAAAAATGATTCTTACTGCCACCACCGTTTCTAAGGAAAAGTAGCAGTACCAACAACCAACGTTTACATTTAAGAAAAGAACTATAGTAGGCTACTTACGACCAATTCAAACTGTCTTTCTAATCAAACCGTATTATAGGTGTTAATCCGTTAGAAAATACATAAATAAATAAATACTCAGGCCACAAAACATGTAACATGTAACGTTAACAACGTAAAGCTTTAAAAACTCACTATGGTTTGCTAAAAAAACTTTCACTTGATGTGGTAGTACCGAAGTTATTAATCTCCCATGGTTTTAACTTTTTTTAGTTTTCAAAAATCAAAGTTATTTCCCATTATTTGTAAGCAACTTTCAATGTTAACATATTAATGACAGTTTGAAAAAACCACCTATATACAAACAAAGGTTTCTTATTTAAAATATTACGTCATCTCTAAACGATAATCGGTACACATATCTAGCAAACATTCGGAGGAAATGTGACAAAAAACGCACAAATCTGGGGTTTTGGACGTTTGTAGTTTTACTTCCTAAGTAGGAAAAGTAGGCCTACCGATATCGTTGTCAAAATGTAAGTAAGTATAAATCAAAAGTGACACATTGGAAAAGCAAGTTTAGCTACATCTGTAAGTTAAACCTCTGTTATGATCACAGCGAAATCAGAAAGATCTTCGAAGATTGCAGCAACATCCACGATCACCCACTGCAGTTGTGATTTTTTACTTTGCACTTTACACAACTGACCTTGAAGCGCCGTTAACGTGTGGAAACCTTTTTTGTAAGCTATTGGTGACGATGATTAAAAAATGTAAGTTACCCAGCACTATACAACACTGATTCACGGTCTTTTCCCACGTTATCAAAACTCAAGAACAATCATCGAACTTGCAATTAATTAAACCGGGCACAACGTTTTTAATCTAACTTGGTTAAGATGTGCTTATAAAACTTGATCGAAAATAGTTGTGGTATTTGTAAACAGTATTTAATCTAAACATATCAGTAAACATTCCATCTTTAGACCTACGCACCAATAGAAGATGGCTCATAGGTCTATTGATGGAATGGTCTAATGAAGGCAGCGCAATAGCGGTGATAAGTGACATATTGGAAAAGCGAGTTTAGCTGGAAAAAACACTGTAACGTTGACGACAACGAAATCATAAAGGTCTTCCGGGGTCGCAGCAACACCCGCGATCATCCACTGCAGTACTGTAGTAATTATTTACTTGATAGAACAGCGATCGAAACGCCGTTAATGAGTGGAAATCTCGATTGTAGGCTATTAGTGGCGATTATTTAAAAAATTTAGTTTCCCAGTCTTATACAACACTGATTTGCTGTATTTTCCCTTGTTATCAAAACTTAAGTTAAATTTTATAGACATAGAATCTCCAGGTTCTTTACCTGGATGTGAATGATAATTATTTTAATTTACAGTTAAAATTATAGTACTTGCGATCGATTAAATCTGTTATGCAAGTCAAAAGGTCAATTAACGTACTTGGTTCCTCAATGAATGGTTTTCGATTTGCGTACAAAATGTGATTGGAAGTGTTGCAGAATTTGTAAACAAAATGTAATGTAAACAATGAAACATATCAGTGACAGCCAGATGTGAGAATTGATCCAAACAGCTGTTCGTTATTTCATAAAATGTAATAGTAAACATTAGGAGAAAACTTGACAAAAATCGAACAAAATTGAGCTTTTGATGGTTCGTTATATTTTTTCAAAAGTAGTTAGGCCATATTTTAATAGCCAAAGACACTCTCGCCAATCCAGTGAATACAGAAAAATAATTGGAATCTTGATCTGTACTCTAGTTTTCAAGGAGTAGGCCGCGTAAAATGACATTTTGGCGTTACAGACGCAACCACAGAATGGACAGACAGACATACAGACAGAAATTGAGATAAGACTCGTTTCGGCTTTCTTAGGCTATGAAACTTAAAAATAACCAAAAACTGCATGATTCTAAGCAATGTACAGACAAAACTGTAATTTTATTTATATATATATATATATCCGTGAACTCGAATTTTGGTTTAAGGTGTAAGATAGGATAAACTTGAATGAGTTCACGACTCAGTGTGATCAGACCATGGGAACGGGGTTTTACGGGGGGTTTTATGGGGTAAGAATTGGTTTATCTCATTTTCGACCTTCAAACCACAAAATGTTCCAATCTCTCATTAGACCTTTTTAGAGAGCTTAATATACAAATAATTTAGTATATCAAAGTGTCTTTGTGTGGTTATTGGTATCGGAGAAAATTCAAACATTTTTAAAATTCCCATGTTATTCTAATGGGAAATTATGTAAAATGTTGTAGTTTGC